CCCAATATTCATCATTCATATATGGTTGTGAAACTTCATACAAAACATGCCATGTAAGATATCATATGAAAGGTCATGATCTGCTGAAACTCATTGATTCATCACCACACAATGGGATTACCCAACTCTGGGACACGGCAAAGCCCACCAGGCCATGTGTGGGCTAGTATTTTCCAGGCACATGGACTGAGGGTCTAAAATAAATGACAGTGGCATCATGCAATTAGCTTTCCTTCCCCCACCTACACTAAAGGCAACAAGAACACTGGGAAGAGAAAGACTTGAACTGAGGAGACTGGTGCCAGGCTGAAAAGGAACGCTTGCATAATAAGGACTGTAACTTACCTGCAACATCCAGAGGGGTGAGAGAAACTGCTTGATCCAAATATTGCTTGTCTAAAAAGTTTTAGGATTTAGACTGCATGTTTGCCTTTTATTTTCTTTAGTAACTATCTTTGACTTTTATGCCTACCACTTATAATCACTTAAAATCTATCTTTCTGTAATTATCTTAACCAGTGAGTTTGTCTGAAGTGCTTGGGGAATCTGCTCAGGTTACAAAGGCTGGTACATGTCCACTTTCCTTTGATGAAGTGGCGAACCAGTTAATAAGCTTACACTGATCAAGAGAAGGACTTGAGCTGTGCAAGACAGTATATTCCTGGGGTGCAAGGCTGGGGGCTTGCTGGTGTTTCAGTGTGTATAGTTCATGAGAGTATTTATTCAATTTATCTGGGTGTGCCTCTGCATGCTGGTAGCTGAGTGATAACAGCTGTTGGAGGGGTTAGATGCTTGTCACTGGCAAAGCACTATAAGAGACAGTCCAGGCTGGAGAGTAAAGGGGGCACAGCCGTCTCAGAATTCCAGGTTGTACCTCGGGGGTCCTGTCACATACATGTTGGTGAAATCATTAATCATGAAATAAGTTAATGTCAAGTGATATCAAATGGGCATATTTGAACTAAATAGATGCAACATATCTTAATGCATGAGAAAAAACAGGTCCATTAAGCAAAGTCTCCAATTAAGCAAATTGATATCAAGAGAGCTTCTCAGTGTTAGGTGTAATTGGGATGAGAGCCTGCCATTTCCAGCAACACTTGTCAGATATCAATTCAAACTTTAAAAAAAGCAGAAAATTAGCAAAAAATACTTTTTTTAACACTATCATTCATTAAGCCGTTTTCATTCCTCTATTTCAAACCAAAGTATAAATATCTAAACATACGAGCATGTATCTTAATGGACATACCATAAATGTGCATCAGACTTTGCACTGTAGAAGTAAAACAATATTACAGAATATGTCAAAAGGGGATAAACAAGCAACATAGCATCTGAATTATGTTAAAAATAATGGGAACTGGCATAACCAGGTCAAGGGGCAACCATGTAAAATAACAGAGCATACAGCACCAAGAATTGGCACCAAAGCTACTTAATGGAGCATGTAGATACTGTATGGGAATGGGGTTATGATCCCTCTAGGTCCTTCGCTCTTTATCGCCAATCTTCTCACTTCCACTATATATCGAAATAATTAGGGGAGTCAGATAGGTTGATAAAAGTTCCAGATATCCTCTAAATAAGATATAAACACTGGATAAAAAGAGTGATAGAGGTTAAAGATATCATAATGCCATAACTCCAGTTTTATATGCCACTTCCTTGTTGTTCCTTTAACAATGTATAGTAGGAAGATTTCAGTAAAATGTTTGAAGTTATAGCATAGAACTTTTTTATGCCCAGGCAAGACAGTGACTACAAGGCAAATTTTCAGAGTGTTGAATGGAAGGGTTAAGTGGTGTAATTTTCATTAACATTCACTTATTGGGTCTTCAGAAATTTCTAAACCTCTTGGAGTAGTTTGGGGTAAGTGTTCAGTTCAGTGGATAATGATTTATCAATACATCCCCTACCAAAGTGAAAATGATCCTATTGTGTGCAACAGCAACTTTCATGGGTGTTTCTCAGAAAATGAGTTTATGACTTTGATATTCATTCCTCACTGGCAGACAATTTAATCTTTTCCCTTTGTGGTTCATAGGTCAGTCTTACTAAGTACAAATATATACTTCTTTCTCATTCACAGAGTGCTTTGGGATCCTTGGATGGAAGCTGCTACTATAAGTGCATAGAACAGGGGTTCTCAAACCGGGGTCGGGACCCCTCAGAGGTTCACAAGGTTATTACATGAGGGGTTGTGAGTTATCAGCCTCCACCCCAAACCCTGCTTTTCCTCCAGCATTTATAATGGTGTTAAATATATAAAAAATGTGTTTTTAATTTATAAGGGGGGGGGTCGCACTCAGAGGCTTACTATGTTAAAGGGGGTCACCAGTACAAAAGTTTGCAAACCACTGGCATAGTATTTGTTGTTGTTATATTATGTTGTAACAATCGGGCTAGGGTGAATGTGTACTACTGGGTTACCTGGATGAAATCAGAAATGGTGAAATGTGCATCTGTCACGTTATTGATTTGAACTGGGACCATATAGAACATGGTTGCAACCAGGTCCTGTAGTGGCACCAAATCTTGTATAAAGGGGGTCAAATGAGGTGTCTAAGATAAGGTTATGGTTTACTGGTTATGATTATGCTGTCTATATGTGTGTATCAATTTTGTAGTTGAAGTTATGAATATTGGCTCTATACTGTCTGTATTTCAAACTTATGCTTGCTTCTGCGTGACATCCCAGACAAGTTGGTGTTAGCTCTGCCTAGCCTGCTTGATGGCCCATTAAGGACCATCAGCTATACAACTGACCCATTGAGAGAAGGCAGATACGCCTTGTAACTCAGCAAAGTATGCAGGAACTTGCCCATGTGACTCCAGACTCCATTTTGCTATAATTTTCCACAGTAAGAACAAAAAGGTGTTCTTACACCTGGAAAAGACTATAAAAGGCTGATGCCTCATCTCCATCTTGTCTTCAATCCTGCTTCTTACCTCTGGAGGGACTTTGCTACAAACTGAAGCTCTGAACAAAGGACTGAATGACCCATCCCAGCTGTGGATGTACTCCAGAGACTTGATTTAAACCTGCAGTTTATTTCATCACTGCTACAAGCTTGAACCAAGAACTTTGCCATTACTGTACGTAATTGATTCCATTTAACCAATTCTGGCTCTCACCCATATATTTTTCCTTTTATGAATAAACCTTTAGATTTTAGATTCTAAAGGATGGCATCAGCGTGATTTGTGGGTAAGATTTGATTTGTATATTGACCTGGGTCTGGAGCTTGATGCTTTGGGATCGAGAGAACCTTTTTTCTTTTACTGGGGTATTGGTTTTCATAACCATTTGTCCTCATAACGAGTGGCACTGGTGGTGATACTGGGAAACTGGGGTGTCTAAGGGAATTGCTTGTGTGACTTGTGGTTAGACCAAAGTCCTCTTTGTCTGGCTGGTTTGGTTTGCCTTAGTGGTGGAAAACCCCCAGCTTTGGGCTGTAACTGCCCTGTTTTAAGCAATTAGTCCTGAATTGGCACTCTCAGTTGGGTCCTGCCAGAACCAGCATCATTACAGCATCATAAACCCATATCACTATCAGGTATCAGAAATTCTCCTCTTGTTCAAGTGATAGGGTCTTTACATTTGGAGGAAGATTTGAAAACTATTCTGCTGCTGTGAAGATGCAGGTGAGCAGCACAGTGCCAACTGTAGGCCTACCTGGCCAGAGGTTTATTACATCAAAGTTTCTCAAGTTGTGGTATATGGAACATTTGTTATTGGTCTTCGGAGCATTTACTTGTCATATAATGCTGGATGCTCCTCCTTATTTCCAGCTGTTAATTGTACTGAGTCAGCTAACACTCCTTTAAATATTGTCCCACTGTTACTGTTCCACGTAACCAATTGCTGTAGTTATCAGAAAGGATGCTAGGTGATTATAAATAGGAAGGCAGGTGACCCACAAGACAATCTCTGTATTAAAAGATGACACACACTATGGATATTTTGAGACCATCTGGTGTTACCATTCCTTTTAATTGCATTGTATGTTTATAACATGAAACTGAGTGTCTGGATCCCTTGATTGCAAATTGGTTATTGATACACCGTCCAAAAAACAGTGCTGGACGTCACAGAACAAATTCAAAGCCAGGGTCGCTGCCCTGAGGACCTTTCAGCCTAATTAACTTGGAACGAATGTCCGGGAGAGCTTGTTTGTTACTGCTGAGATTGAACGGTACCTGCTGGCTCATTTCATGCTCAGACTAGAGCCGAGGACGCTCCCGCAGCGGCCTGTACTAGCTAAGGCCCCCCAGCTGTCAGTGCCAGGACACCTCTGGCCTTGGGGCATGTCGCATCTGAGCCGCCCCACCGCCAGAGACCCCGGCCTGCGACAGAGCTGGGGCCCTGGGATCCACGTCCATCCACCCCTCCCCGGGGCCACTAGCGCTCTAGCCCCGTTATGATCAAGGCGGGGCTGAGCCGCTCAATGCGCCCCCAGTTTGGGATGAGCTCAGCGCTGGGGCTCCCGCTCCGTCCCCACTGTGGGGCTGCCTGGAGCCGCATTTGCCTGTCCTCGGGCCGGACCCTTTGGTCTCCCCGGGCTGGCGTCTCGCTGCCCTGTAGCAGGGCGCGGGCCCCCGGCAGGCTGGAGCCACAGCCCAGTGGGCGGGCCGGGAGGCAGGGCCAGCCGGCTGGCTCCGCGCAGCTGCTCGGGCCGGGCGCAGGCGCAGCAGCCTGTTCCCCTTCGGGAAGCGGGTTCCGACCCGCAACGCTCCGTCAATGAGCTGCGAGGTGCGTAGCCTGCAGCCGGGCCGGCGGGTGTTTACACGGCACCGGGACGGGGCAGGGCGGTCAGCCGGAAACGTGCCGCTCCGCCCGGCGGGGCTCGCTCCCTGCTCCCCTAGGGAGAGCCGGCAATAGCCGCTCTGCAGTGCCCCGGGCAGCCCCTTCGCTCAGGGCGTGCTGGTGATTGCTGGACTCGGCGCTCGGGCAGCTGCAGGGGGATCGGGTGACCACGGGACAGCTGGTAATCGGCCTCCCCCGACACTCCCCATTTATTCTGTTGCGGGAGTCACAAGAACACTGGCCACCTCCTTAAGGGCCCCCAATTTAGTAAGCAGTTGCAGCCGGGCCTAATTAATCATGTACGGGCTTGGGGAGCCTGGGCTGCAGTCACTGTCATGAGCTGTCCTGGTTATCGTGCCTAAAACGAGATCAGGCATTAACGCGAAGAAGTGAAACGAAAGTGGAGAACCACGGACTCGCATGTGATTTTTTTAAAAAAATCGTAACGCTTAATCCAGCATTCTTCCTTGGATGATGTTGATGGGTTTGGGGCCCATTTCCTGCGCTATAAATACCCATTGAGGAGACAGGAGATGAATGGTGTGTAATCTGAATGGCGATTTGTCTTTCAACAGGTTGTTGCGCTGTACTTTGCCAGGAGCGCTGAATTGGCAGGTGTTCGCTCTGAGATTATTTCTGTACCGCAACAATTAACCTCTCTACAGCTGTGGGAAGAAATTGTTAAAAGGCATCCAAGGTAGTTTTAGACTAGAGCATACCTCTGGTGCGCCTCAAGTTTGGGGTTTTGTAAACTGTTACCGGAGTTACAAATGTAATATAGTTGAATTAAATGTATGTCATTTTTTCAGTATAATAAAAGTAGCAAAATCTGTTCTACATTTTGCTACTTGGGATCTTATTTGTGAGCATGTAGTTCTACAAATATGTTCAAAAGAGTGAATATTTCACTGATTTTTGCATTAAACTGGCTGGCATTAGTAGCAGCAGCAGAGCTTGCAACTGAAAGGCTGTAATTAAATATTAGAGAGGGTCTTGCCTAAAATCAAACAAAATTGGGTTTTGCGGTAGCAGTAGCAAGTACAGGTCTGTCGCATCTTACACACATTTAACATGTGCGATTTCAGCTTTACGCGGTTGGCAAAAAAAAAGAAAAGAAAAAGAACAACCATTTTAATACTGTACTTGTAGTGGGACGATTCTGCCTGCCATTCAACTCAATGTAATTTTGACTATACGCAGTTTTCGCTTTACGCACTAACCGTGAAACGGAACCCCCGTGTAAGATGAGACAGGCCTGTAATCCAACTGGAGTGTATTTTACCATATAGCCTAATACTGGATTGATTACTAAAACCTATGGACTTTGATCATTTTGTGGCCTGTAGTTTGCAAGTTTTATTCTCCTTATGAAAAGCAAATCAAATTATGTTTTACAGTAGCAAATTGTGCAAAGCTCTTGAAGATGTTACATACCCTGACTTGGCTGGAAAATGAAATTGTTTCTTACCTTTCTGTCAGTAGTCACCACTGGCTTCTAACCAGATCACTAACACATTGACAGTCTTACTTGCCCAGTTGGCACATCTACTTGCATCTGGGCAATAGTATTTTCCCCCGTCTGTGCTATACGCTGTAAGCGCAAAGTATAATTCCTTTATTATGATTGATTTTACCTTTTCTAAATAAAGCTTCACCACTCTTTTCTACTGGACACATGGTATCTTCCTATCCACTGTATATAATTTATTTTTTATTTTGCTTGAAATAACCAGCTCAATTCCTATCTTTAGAAATTTTATTGGTTTGGTTCACCACTCACCCTTGCCCATGCCCATGAAAAGATAATCACCAAGTCCAAGGGCATACAGTTGTTTGTTGTGATTAAAAAAAATAGTACAAATGCAGATGTGTAAGTCGTAATCTTACTACTTCAGCTTTCCTGAGCTATGCACCAGTCAATTCTTCACATTTAACTATGAGAATTCATGCAAACACTTTACTTAAATGTATTTATGCTACTGCTAATCCTTCTCAGACTTGCTGCCATTCAGGATCAAGTGGTTTTCGCTGTTCGCCAGGAATACGTGCTTCTTGGTGATCAACTTCTGGTCCTGCAGTCAGGTGACGAGGTTGCCATTATCCCACCTATCAGCGGGGGCTAACTCCAGGCAAACACACTTAGGTATGTATAGCTTCTTTTTGTAAATGGCCTATGTGGGTTGATCGTGCATTGAAACATTGCTGGAATTCTTTTTTTAATTTTCCTCTCTGTTTAGGGTCTAGTGATTTGTGGATGACTTTCCCCTTCTGCTAGTACTCTCTGAGAAGGTGTAACACGCATCCCCTGCAGTAGACAGCCATGATGCTGATACTGAGGTGTAAGTTGGTGCAGGAATAAATGATTAACATATTTGCAACAGATTGGAAAAAGCTTTCAAAATACTTTGGGCTAGATTCACACAGGGGCTTGGTTGCCTAGACAAATCACTGGGATTCACAAAGCCTGAGTTAGGCACTCAGGCTTCCTGGGCAATGAGTGGCAGGAGCTAAGCACGTAAGAGTGGGATTCACAAAAGCCAGCACACTAGGTAAGGAGTGGCATAAAATAGCCAAGGAAAAGGATGTGTCCTAAGCCCGACCCCTCTCAAGGAGTTGAGTGCCTCCTTCTGCTTTGGATTCTCAGCTGTGAACCCTCTTTCAGAGTTAGGTACCAAAGGTGATGGTGAAGGACCATCTCTCTCACAACTTTTGGCCCAGCAGTCAGGGTACATCCCTGGGAAGTGGAAGACCCCGGGTTCAAGTTGCCCCTCTGCCTGAGAGGGAAAAAGGGATTTGAACAGGGATCTGCTACCTCTCAGACTATGGGAAGTTTTTGATATGGGTCTCCCTCAGTCTTTCGTGTTCGTATATCATTGGAGCGGGAGGACTGGATCCTGTGTCCACTATATCCTGGGTGAGTGCTCTAATCACCGGGCTGTAGAGTCATTCACATGCTCTTGCACTCTGTCTCTCTGGCCCACCGACTAACTCATTATTTATCCACAGTGGAACAGCTTTAATGGGAGAGACTAAGGGAGGCCATGTCAGACTATCCCATAGCCTAGTAGCTACAGCACTCACCGGAGAGGTGACAGATTCCACTGCAGACTAGGTCCTAGAATTGGTATATTAAAACAAACTGAGCCCCTGTACCTCCAGAAATTGCCAACAAGAAGTGCAATTAGTGTTCTCCCAGCAAAGGGGCTAAGAACTAATTCTGCATGGGGACTGACCTACTTTTTCATTTCTGCTGGTGAGCCCTACAGCTGAGGCATGTTAGTGGGTGCCATACATTTGCTGGATAAATTCAGGCCTCACGGCTGTTTAAAAAGCAGGTTCCAAATGGCCAATGTAACCAGAAAAGTAACTTATTAAATCTTTGAGTTCTGTAGCTTTCTGTTTCCTTCCAGAGAAGCCATGAATGAAAATAAAGATGAGTCCAAAGATTTCATCAAACTGAACTATGAAAAACTCTCTACAGATGAAGTGTCAGAGCTGGTGATTTCTCCATGCTGTGGGGCTGTGTCCCTGTTCATAGGTGAGTTTAATGCTCCTAAAATAAATCCCTGGATGTGTATATCCATCAGTAAGTAGAGCACAGGTCACCTCATAAGTTCAACCTCTTGCTTCTGAGACTACTTAAAAAATAAGTCTCTGGGACAAACCAATAATATTTAGCAAATTATGTATTAATCATTTCGAGCAAGATCGTGGCCAGCCCTCATGCAATAGGGAATGAGGTCCTAAGGAGCCTCCTTGCTGGTGTGGTCAGCCTCGAATTGCAGCCCCTATATTGAGGAGCACAGGGACTGCTAGTTTCTCCCCCGGAGCAACTTACACAAAAGGAGATGGGGAGTAGATAGAACTATGGTTCTGTCAACCCCATGTGCTGACCACCAGGGCTGTCCCTCCACCACCCTCCAGTGTAGGGCTGGGGTTAAATGTCACAGTATAGCCACCATATGCAACTTACCTCTTCATAAAATAGTATCTGAAGAGATGAGACTTAATTTTAGCCTTGTGGTTAGTATATCAGGACCTACATTTTCAGAACCCTTTGTGCTTAGAAGTTAGTACCATTGTGTGCCTAAATTCCATACAGTTATTCATGTTGTATGAGCAACTGCAGTGACAACAGGCACAACTTTCTAAACATAGATTCATAGATTCTAGGACTGGAGAGGTCATCGAGAGGTCATCGAGTCCAGTCCCCTGCCCGCATGGCAGGACCAAATACTGTCTAGACCATCCCTGATAGACATTTATCTAACCTACTCTTAAATATCTCCAGAGATGGAGATTCCACAACCTCCCTAGGCAATTTATTCCAGAATTTTTAAATTAATGGAGATATCCCATCTCCTAGAACTGGAAGGGACCTTGAAAGGTCATCGAGTCCAGCCCCCTGGCTTCACTAGCAGGACCAAGTACTGATTTTGCCCCAGATCCCTAAGTGGCCCCCTCAAGGATTGAACTCTCAATCCTGGGTTTAGTAGGCCAATGCTCAAACCACTGAGCTATCCCTCCCCCCATAGGGTCAGATCTGTGCTAGTGAAGATGTTGCCATCTTGGACATTGGTAACTCCAGCATGTAAAATCTATGGGTTAAATTCTGTCCTTTTTATATGTTAAGAATTACTAACGTACTTAAAAAACAATCACTTCCAGCTCATTGCAGTGAGCTGGTTGAACCTTTTCCAGAATAAGAAATATGTAGTTTGACATTCTTAGATCGTATGCTCTTTGGGGCAGGGAGTATATTTTTGTTCTAGCACAATGGAGTCCTGACCCAGGACTGGAGCTCCCACCTACTATTGCAATAGAAATAAATAACTTATTTGTTTTTAGTAATTCATTTATTTTTAGGTACTACAAGGAATAACTTTGAAGGGAAAAAGGTGATTCACTTAGAATATGAAGCATACTCACCAATGGCAGAAGCTGAAATAAAGAAAATCTGTAGAGATGTCAGACAGAAATGGCCTTCAGTCAAACATATAGCAGTGCACCATAGACTTGGGTATGTATGACCAAGATGTATCTAACTAAATCTGAATTAAATGTCAGTATGCTTGTAATTGCATATGGTGTGGGCAGGAACCTGCATATTCTCTGCTGCGAAACCTGCCACTGAATCCACCCCTTGCTGCAAAATTGTGCTGCAGTGCCTGGTCATTTTAAAAAATCAGTTTCCATCTCTGAGTTGCCAAAGAAACTTTCAAAACCTGAACCACGTACAAACCAGTGCGGTGATGGATGCCTGAGGCTGCACGCAGCCTGAAACACAGTGAAAATAAAACTAAGATTTAACTGAAGCTGCCATAGTGTTTCCAGTCTCTTGCCCTGGGGTACCACAGAATCCAAGCCCTTCACTACAGAAATTAAGTCAAGTTTACCAGAGTATAGGCATTGCCAGTCATGCTGGCTAGGAGATCAAGGGTTTTTCCCATGACTTGACAATTACCCTTTTGTTGAGTTTAAAATGCAGATCCATTGGAAAGTAATGGTGCATGAATCTTACCAGGTCCATCCTGTACTGGGATCTCCTGGAATCAGTGAAATCAGTGGGTAGATGCAGGTTTTGGTGCTAGTGGAGCCTGATTTGGGATCAGGGTCTAATTTGAGCACATCACAAATGGCTGCCTCCCCACCTCTCAGCAAAGATAACCTAGCATTACTGAACAGTGGTAATGTGAGACTTCACTTCTTTTTACAAAATGTATTACACTAGATGAAAAATATCCTCATAATTTGAAACTAAAAATCTTTACAAACTCAGTATGGATGCAGAACCGTGCTATTAGCGGGCCAAACTGCACTGCCAGGTTCATATGTGCAGCCTGTCAGTGATTATGCAGGTACACAGAGGCTAGAACTGGCCCTTACTGATTGATACTTGTTCACTGGTAAAACAGTCCCTTGCAATGGGTTTCACAATCATTTTTGCAAGTTAGCAAAGTTCTGCTCTATGCTGTATTGTCTAGAACAATTTTCCTATCTAATCCTATAAACCTGTTTTAAAAAGAAAAATTGAGGAAATACGTTTGTAAAAAGCGTAGGATTTGAACATCGGTTTTGTGTTTTTTAGAGTATAAGCTGTTTGGGACAAGGATGCTCATTTACTTTGTGTTGTGTACAGTGCCTTGGGAGAATGGAGCCCAGCCATTGTTGAGGACTTTAGATGCTAATGCACTGTAAATGTTACGTCCAATGTCCTATTCTTGTCTTTTCCTAGTTTAGTTCCAGTAACAGAAGCAAGTGTGATTGTAGCAGTCTCCTCTCCACACCGAGTGGCATCTCTTGAGGCTGTGCACTACTGCATCAACACTTTGAAAGCAACTGTTCCAATTTGGAAAAAGGTGAATTTAAGTATTGCACTTTACAAAAAGTGCCAACCTTCGTCTTCACCATGCTCTCTGTCTCTGGAGTCTGATAGTTGTATAAGCACTTAAAACCGTTAGCTGTCCACTTCTGTGATTTATATTGCAGAGGGATGTCAGGGACTGTGGCTATGGTCTGAGAAAGGATGATCAGTGCTTTGGGACAGGACTGGTTCTGGGTTTCCAGATGTTCAGTTCTGAGGACTTGGCCCTTGATTGTCAGCTTCCAGTATTTTGGGTGTTAGTCATTTTTTTAGCATCTCTGATTTATGAAAAATTAAATATCCTCCTGTCTTCTTTTTCTGTGTGTCTGCCAAACACTATGCAAATTGTTTGTACTGTATAACTAATAGCAGATTAGCTGTTGAATTTTTGTGCACTGGTTGTATTTGTATGTAGCAGACTCCTGAAGCACTTCCCATTTTTTGTTTTTGTTTGCAGGAGATTTATGAGGAGGAATATTCTTGGAAAGAAAACAAGGAATGCTTTTGGGCAGATGTGGAAAAATAACTCCACCTCCAAAGTCACTCTACTGTGCATGCAGATCAGCCTTTAGTTGTAGATACTTTACAGCAGTGGTGGGTAACCTGCGGCCCATCAGGGTAATCAGCTGGCAGGCTGCGAGACAGTGTTTACATTGACCGTCCGCAGGTGGGAAGCGGGAAACAGTGGCCAGCATGTCCCTGTAGCCCGTTCTACTTCCCGCAGCTCCCATTGGCTGGGAACAGCGAACCACGGCCACTGGGAGCTGTGGGCAGCCATGCCTGCGGACGGTCAATGTAAACACGGTCTTGCGGCCTGCCAGCAGATTACTCTGACGGGCCGCAGGTTGCCCACTACTGCTCTACAGTAAATCTAACTAGTAACAGCATATGCATTATAACAAACACTTGAGTCTAAGACAGAATGAAATACAGACAGTAATTAGATTAAGTTCACAAATAACTTTCGTTTTTTGTAAAATCACCCAGCTGTGGTTTTTTAAATAGCTAGACAGTTTTTTAAAACCATTTCCCCAAAAATTCTTAATCGAAAGGAATCTAGTTTTATATACTATATGCTGCTTTAATACCTTTATTCTGGCACCTTGTGTGTTCACTGCCAGCACTGGAGAGCACAACATGACAATCAGGTTTGTGGTTTTTTAATCTTAAAAATACCCTTTGTTAGTTTTATATGACTGCAAAGTCAACATACCGGCTTTTAGATAATTTGACACTTTTAATTTGATTAAACGTTTTTGGTACAAGCAGAGAAAAAATATAAATTATCCCCAGAGTTACTAATGGTTACTTCCCAGTAAGCTTTGTTTCATAAAAATATTTTTACTGTGTAGTTGATACTACAGGTCCATCACATTAAGGAAATTTAAAGCTCTTTATTTGAAGTGAGATCATAGACAACTAATTTGCATTAGCAATAAAACACAAACTTAACTGAACTTTAATAGATGTATAGAGGTGACTAGTTTTGAAGCAGCTTTTGCAGTTGTCTTATTCTATGTGTTTAAAAAAGCCAATAGTTGTTACAAAGTAAAAGTGTTAAGTCTCTGACTTGAATTTACAAATGCAAGAATATTTAGAGTTAGGAATAAAATTTCTCATCTTCACTCATTGTTAAAAGGACATTGTCGTCTTGAAACAAAGTCAATTAAAAAAATTCAGTAGATTTAACAGGAGGAACTAATTAGTTAATGGGGCTACTCACATAAGTAAGGTTACTCACATATACAAATATTATCAATTTGCAGTGTAGTTTTGTATTGTAGAGGTCTCAACTGAGATCAGAGCCCCATTGTGCTCAGCCCTTAGAAACCTAGTGATAGCTTCTGCCCCAGAGAATTTATAATCTTAAATAGACAGAACAGAGAAGGTATGGGAAGGGAAAGAAGCACAGGGGTGTAGTGACTTGCCCAAGATTACACAACAGGCCATTACACAACACTTGGGCCCTACTTGTTTCACTATTTCCTCAGTAGCATTGTCAACTGCACAAAGCAAAAACAGAAAAAGACAGTTCTCTCTCTAATCTTTCAGTCACAGTAATCTTTGGTGTTAGTTTCAACCAGAATAAGTTTTAAAACAAAATCAAAACCCAAAACTTCAAACACAAGTGTGATTAAACTGGGTTCTTGTACTGTTTTTGGTGTACTTCCTACTGATGGCAGGGGACATCCCTGGGAAGAAGAGACGCCGCTCTTTGCATGTATGCATCTATTATGGGTGTCTGATGTGTCTTCTTTGTCACTTTGGCTCTTATATTTAGGTAGGGGAGAGTAAGTTATAGACTTGAATTTTCCTTGTTTGGAATGTGCGAGTGAAGAACTATGCTATTTGGATGTGGCTTTGCTGTATGGATTGTTCAGTGCTATCAGCTCCATGAATAAAGATAATTTCTACAGAGATCAATATTTGTTGGGTTTTTTTTTTAAAGTGCAATTATTATACCCAGTGTTTCAGATTCTTGGCAGTAGTGGCTCCACCTGAATCTGTTTCCAGGGAGAGGCCCCAATTCTGGGATCAAGCAAAAAATGGGTATTACTTACAAAGAGAGGTATAGGACTAACATGCCGTATCAGTGGTAGTCTATGAACCAGGCAGAACCAGTGTAGTGCTTATATGCTAGAATTAAAACAGAAAATGACATTGCAAAGTTATACCATATCTGGTTCAGAGGCATCTTATGGAATCTATGGATTTCACTGGTGCTTCTGTAACTTATCTGATGGAAGGAGAATAGAGTAATCACTCACATATCCCCATCATATAAGCAGAGAGAAGATTTCAGATCAAGGGGAATACTACTTCCCTCCCAGTAACCAGGCATAAGAAAGCGAAGGCATGTTGTGTTAAACTGCTAAGATCACACCATCAGTTTTTGTTTCTGTCCTTCAAGGCACAAGCATCACTGAATGTAAGCACTGGTTTAGAACAATAAGTCTTAATTTGGAAATGTGTAATTTGGGGTTCTTCAACTGGACTATAAAATAGAAATGGAAAAGTTCCAAGAAAGCTTATACACATGTATTTAAAGGTTATGGGAGTTACTGGAAGTTATAGTAGAGACAGGATGTTAAGATACTTGACACATTCAAACAACTTCTGAAGACCATTAAGAACTGATTGATCCTGCCTTTGCCTCTATCCTATAATATGACAAAGGTACACCCAGCTAAACCATTACAACTAGCGGAAATACTGTTTTATGTAACAAATCAACAGCATTGGACATTAGGGAGATGTGCTAGAAACCTGGGCAATTCATTGCTGCAGGAGATCAGCAAGAGAAATTCTGGGCCTGAACAATGTAAGTAGCTGCAACCATTAGTGCTCATTAAGATAATCAGATCTCCTGTTGCAATATGTAACAACCCCTTGTAGTCATCAAGAAAAAAAAAATCTTTAACCCAGGCATTATACCTAACCTATTCTTTTTTGTATGCCTGTGATAGTATGCTGGTGAGATGGCTTTTCTACAGGAAAGTGCAAGGGCACAGAGAACAACTTGTGGAACACGGGCAGTTGACCTGTGGAGGCAGGAAACTATCATAGCATGGAAGCAAAGAATGGATTTGATGGCAGAACCCCTTAGAGAAAATAATTCTCACTTCTTGACTTGCAGTATTTGAGAGTAACTTGTGCTGTGACTGGATGATCGCTTATAGCTTAATATTTGAGCAACTTTTTAATGTTGCTCTGGCCCTCATAGTATTTAATTGTTATGTTTTCAAAAGTGGTTTAGGTTGATTTTTAACCATCAATTGAATGCTGGGAGATCATTACAAAGTAATGGATGGTGCAGGAATGTGGATCAAGATCTATCCAGTAGATGTCAGTAGAGACAGCTGCAGGTGGTAGTGTTATAGGGGCATTCACCTTCCCTGAATTCAATATGTGTTGTGAAATAGACTATAGATGCTCAGTTCTAGTTGGCTAAAGAGATACGGCCAACTTTAAATTATTTTAAAGAGTTAAAAGTACTACCTCTTTCCTGTAGCTATCCTACCAGTTTTTGTGGTGTTACATACATATTTACCTACTTTTTGAATCTGCCCTCAATTTCTCTTGTTGTGTGAAAGCCCCCCACAGAGGATAGTAGTGAAACTGATGACATACAAATTGTTGTCAAATGCATATATTAAAAACCTGAAAAAATTGAGGCTTTATTCTAAACCCTTTTAATAATAGTAATCGTAGGGGGTTGCTTATGCCAATAATAGATTTAAAAAATTACAGAAATGACTTTTAAATTTATTGATGTACTTTTAAAATATTTTGAACCCAGTTTTGTAAAGATTGTCAGCCTGATACTAGCAGGTGTGTGTGTGTGTGTGTGTGTGTGTGTATATAGAGCATCACATGCAATTTGACAGAAGTTTTGATTTGAATGTACACATCAAACAGTGCTGCCTTTTATTTTTGTTATTAAACAAACAAAAACAAACTCCAGTACATTAGGTGCTATGGCATTCTGTACTAAAGTGCAAAATATACATACAGTAGAGGGCAGAAATGTCACCCGAGAAGATTTTAAATCTTAACTGCATTTCTCAGTGAGAACATCATTTTTTATTCATTATGTTTAAAAGGTAACGAAATGAGGAAATTGTTAGCCTGATAAAAAGTAACCAACATATGTAGTATTTAGTGATGTTTGATCTTATTTACCTTTATTTTCAGACGTTGCTCTTTCAAGTGCAAAACTGGGCTGTAATACGAAGTAGATGAGTGGAGGGTCTGAGGATCACTCAAAAGTCACTGCCAACTTGGAGGGGGAAGACAACAAACTGCTTCAAGATGGGAGGGCAAATGAATGTGAAGTTGTAATTTTAGAAGGGGGAGATCATGTGGGAACTAGCTACATTGATATAGCTGCACCGGTGCAATCCCCTAGTGTAGATGTGCTGCATCACTGTGAACTGTGACTAACACCAGTGCAGCTGAGCTTAGCAGTGTTGCTACACCAGTGGCTAAAACCTGTAAGGCCTGAGGAGGCACAGCTTCTTAGTATCCTCAACACCTCGCTGTCAGCACCTTGCAATAGCATAACCTTAGGATTCTGCTACTGTAGCAAACACAAATGTTGCTGCATTTTATATAGTGGCTTTTAGTAAAGCTTTTCACTCTTTAAAGCCCTGCTTTTATTACTTATTCTGTATTCAGATTTGTAACAAAAAATTAGTATTTATCATTTGTACTATAGTAGTGCCTAGGGGCTCTAGGGCCTCATTATGCCCATCAGTGCACAAGCACATAACAGATGGTCTCTGCCCCAAAGAGTTTACAGTCTAGTTCTGAGTCCTCAATCTGATCATTTGTATTAAATCTCTATCTCACATTCCCCATTGGCAGTGTCCACTCTCCTATGAAACTAATTTTTGAGATTTACAAAGGACTTTACTCATATCGTCTAAACCTCAGCCAATCTAATTTGGATCTCGCACCAGTTTTACACTGTGTAACTCTTTTGATTTCACTGGAGTTACTCCTGACTTCTGCTGTTGCAAGCAAGATTAGAATCAAAGCCCAGCACCGCAAAATAACACGGAGATAAAACATCTTTACAAGGTTTTAAAAACGTAACCCCCCAAACCGTTATACACAGTACAAAATATACATCACATTTCCAGCATTATTTCTGAGGCTATGCCTACCCGAAAAGTGCAATAAAATTA